GGTATGAGAAGGTGGCAGCAACAGGCCTGGGGGCAGGTGTGAGCAGGTGGCAGATAGACCTGTGGGCAGGGGTGAGCAGGTGTGAGCAGGTGGCAGACAGGCCTGGGGCAGGTGTGAGCAGGTGGCAGTGACAGGCCCCTGGGCAGGTGCGAGCAAGTGGCAGACAGACCTGTGGGCAGGTGTGAGCAGGTGTGAGCAGGTGGCAGACAGGCCTGGGGCAGGTGTGAGCAGGTGGCAGTGACAGGCCCCTGGGCAGGTGTGAGCAGATGACAGAAAGGTCTGTGGGCAGACGTGAGCCGATATGAGAAGGTGGCAAAAACAGGCCTGGGGGCAGGTGTGAGCAGGTGGCAGACAGGCCTGGGAGCCGGTGTGAGCAGGTGGCAGACAGGCCTGTGGGCAGGTGTGAGCAGATGGAAGAGGGAAACACTCACACTTTGATGAGCGGCGTCCCATGTGCTCGTTGTCCACAGTGTCACTCGTCCATTCTACCTTCTTCTCTGGCTTCCGCTTCCGTAATTTGATGGTCAGGCTCCGGTTCTCCTGGAAGGTTAAGAAGGACGGACAGACACAGCTAGCCCCCTCCTCCTGACCTGCCCAGCTCCCTCCCGGGGGCCCGGTTCAGTTAGTGCCCCAGACAGACCAACAGAGGAGCTGAGTGCAGGGAAAGGGCAACTGGAGCAGGTCTCTGACCTCAAGGAGACCCTTGGGGGGTTGCGACAACTGCTAGGACATGGGGAAGACACAGTTCCTAACCTAGGGAAGGTCCCAGCAAGTCTTCAAAGGAAAACATAATCCTCGCTGTTTCTCCGTCTTCCTCCCTAAATCCTCCTCGGTGGTATTAGTACCTGAGCACGATCTCCTCAGTCCCCAGTACCTAACCCTTGACTCCCATAGAGAAAGAACCACGTCCTGATCTCTCCCATCCTCAAGCCCGGTGCTCCCCTCTTCTTACCTACCTACCTACCCCCTCGCACCCACGCGTCCCCCCATAACCCGGGGGTAACGACTACACCCTCTCTTTCTGAAAGCAACTCAACCCGTTCTCGTAGGCAGGCTACTTGTGTCTCCATTTCTCAACAGTTCTCCCATCTCGCCCTTCTCCTTCCCGCGACCCCTGCACCTCCCTTCACGCCCACCCCTTGCACAAACACGTGCTGGCAGCTGTGCTGGCGGCCAGCCTGCCTGCAGCCAAGCCTTCGCATGGAGCCCTTCGATCCCCCCGCCCCCCCCCACCCCGACACCCCGAGCTCCGGTCCCTGGGTCTCCAGCCCCGCCCGCGCGCAGCAGCTCCTGCGCCCCGACTGTAACTCTCTGTCACGTGTCGCCTTAGTAGCCTCCGGCAGCATCTCAACCGCTGCCCAAAGCCCCAGTACTGGCGACTGTCCCCGGCCCAGGTATCCGACCCCACTCGGCCCACAGCCCTATCCCCTCCCTCCCGGTATCCCCGCCCCCCCCCCCCGCCTTTCTCACGGGCTCGGTTGTCACGGTAACCGTTGTCTCAGTGACGGTCTCACTCAGCCCGGCCCCTGCCTCGGCCATGGCTAAGGCTGAGGACAGGGAGGAGGGGAGGAAGGGGGACGACACGCCCTTCCTTTTCTCTGTGTCTCAGGGTTCTAAGCGGGCCGGGCCGGGCCGTACTCAGGGTGGCAGCCACGATCCTCCACCTTCTTTTTTCCCCCTCCTCCTGGGCCTCCGTTTCCCCACCCCTGGGGAGAACCTGTCCAACCCCACTTCCGGCCCGCTGCTTCCGGGTGTGACGCACTCCGTAGTTCCCCTTCTCCCTTCCACGGCACTGCACGCGTCTAAGCGCAGGCGTCGCCGGATTAGTTCCGCCGTAACGTGACAGTGCGCAGGCGCCGCCAGCAGGAGCCACTGACTTGGCGGAAGAGGCGTCACTGCGGGTGTGGCGCGTGGGCGGCGGGGCGCAAGCGCTGCCGAGTAGCGCCAGGAGGGGCGGTCCGGAAGGGCAGAGCCCGTGGGGCGCCGCAGCGCGGGTGTGGGGATGCGCGATAGGGGTGCGGCCCCCGGTGCAGTGGGTGCGGATGCGGATGCTGCCCGGTGCAGTGGGGTTGGGGGTACGACATGGGGGTGCAGGTGCAGGGGAGAACATCTGTCCTGGCGGTAGTAACCACCCCGCCTGAGCCGGTCTTCCGTTTCCTTGCCTCTGGGAATGGAGAATTGGGCCCCAGGAGCAGGGAGAAGCACTCGATCACGAATGGGTTGTGGGAGGGGGGGGCACCTGAGTGGCTCAGTCCTGGAGCGCCAGACCCTTGATTACCAGTTGGGTCGTGATCCCAGGATCGTGGGATGGAGTCCTTCGTGGGGCTCCGCACTCACAGCGCAGACCTTGTGTGAACTTCTCTGTCTCTCAATATAAATAAACCTTAAAAAATAAAGTAAATAAAAGAATGGGTTCTGGCGGTCGCCCTGTGTGTGCAGGTGTTGGGGCAAGGTCCTTAATGGGGCCTTCAACTGGGATTGTTGCTGGCTCTGTGTTCGGCCTTACAGCTCCCAGCCTGATGGGGAAGCTGTAGGACTAACATCTTAGACAGTGAAAGATACTAATCTCTTCTGTGAAACTGAATTTACTTACTTCTTGCCAGCACGCTCTCTGGGGTGGAGGGGAGTACGATCAAGCACAGAAATGGTCGTAAGTTTGTGTGATGATAGAAACAGGTGCATGTTTCTAAGGAAGCAAAGAGGGGTAAAAGGAACTGGAAGGCGGCAAATGGCTTTTTGTTTGGTAGAGAGCTGTTTACAAATTCAGTGTGTGCGCTGAAGAAAACTCAGTTTTGCGTTGCTTGGGATGTAAGAGGAGTATCAGGTGAGGCTTGGCAGGTAGGTGCTCTTATGCAGGAGGTCCCGTATGTTGCTCAGAAACTTGGACCTTACCCAGTCAGTGTTATGGGCCAGGGGAGGCTTAAAATGGGGTAGATAAAACAGATTTGTTTCAGATTTCAGAAGTGGGGTGGGAAAGTTCAGATGCAGGGTGAAGTCTGCCCTGTGCATCCCTCCAAGTTGCTATGGGGGTCAAACAAGACAGGGTAGGGGCACCTGGGTGGCTCAGTCGTCTAAGTGTCTGACTTCGGCTCAGGTCATGATCTCATGGTTGGTGAGTTTGAGCCCCAAATCAGGCTCTGTGCTGATAGCTCGGAGCCTGGAGCCTGCTTCTGATTCTGTGTCTCCCTCTCTCTGCCCCTCCCCTAGTCACACTGTTTCTCTCTCAAAAATAAACTTTAAAAAAAAAAATTAAAAACGAACAACAAGACAGGGTAAGTTTGAGAGCCCTGAACATATAAAGGCCACACAATTACAAGGTAATCATGGTTACTATCACCCTTTGATCACCATTTAAGCCAAGGAATGCAAAAATACAGATTTCCAGAGTAAATCTGAATATGTTGTGTTTGAACTACAAGTTTTTGGTTCAAACTGATAAAAATCAAGATACAACTCAGCATGTATAGTAAAGCCCATTAAAAAAGACAGTATCTCTGTGCAGTGGGATTCACAAAAAAATACTCTTTTCTTTTTGCCTCTATATATGATTACGATGAATATGTATTACATTTATCTCAAGGGCAATAGCAAAACAATTTTCAAAGTGTCCATTGGTACCAAGTACATACTGTTATCCCTTGGTAACAGATGTTTTGTTGTCCAAATTCACATGTCAAGAGATCTGGTTAAGTTACCTGTTGAATATCCCACTCTCCCAACTCCTATGTTTGTTTCCCTAAACTCAGGAACCAAATACATTTAGTGATGGAAGACTTATAATTACTTTTTTATATTAGTCCCATTCTTGGCTCTTTTTTTTCTTTCTTGTTCTAATTTATATTATTTTTTGTAGCTCATATACTCACTGAAAGAACAAATATATCTCTGTAAGTTCATTTAAATTCCTGTCAGAACAAGACATATTATAAATAACATACAGATGTCTGGCTTATATAAAAAAATATAACTTTAATAAGGAAAAATAGAGTAAGTGTACTCTGGGGACAATGACACATAATAATGTCCTATGGGAGCAAACCATTGCACCTAGGATGGACAAGGGATCTAAGAACCCAATATCCTTCACCTTCCAAGGAAGAGAAGAGGGAGGGATCGCTGAGTCGCCCAGAAAAAAAAATCAAGAGTCTTCTTTCTCCTGAAACCTATGGAGAAAGAAAGGAGTCATTATATTTGAGCAAAAGAAGAGGCTCCAGCATAAGACAAGACATTCAATTAAAAGATCAAAGGAGGAGGGACACCTGGGTGGCTCAGTCGGTTGAGCATCAGGCTCAGTTGACAGCGTGGAGCCTGCTTGGGACTCTGTCTCCCTCTCTCTCTGCCCCTCCTCTGCTCACACTCTCTCTTTCAAAAATAAACAACTAAAAAAAAAAAAGTTAACAAATGGGGCACCTGGCTGGCTGATTCCAGGTGCATGTCACTCTTGATCTCAGGGTTCTGAGTTTGAGCCCCATATTGGGTGTAGAAGTCACTTAAAAATAAAATCTTAGGAGCACTTCCTAAGGTTGGGTGGTTCAATCGGTGGAGCATCTCTTCTTTTAAGTTTATTTGTTTAGTTTGAGAGAGAGCAAGGCGGGGGAGGGGCAGACAGAGAGAATCATAAGCAGGCTCTGCACACAGATCCCAACGTGGGGCTGGAAGTCTGGAACCCTGAGATCACGACCTAAGCCGAAATCAGAAGCGGGACGTATTAACTGGAGCATCTGACTCTTGATTTCGGCTGAGGGCATGATCTCAGGGTCATGGGATCAAGCCCTGTATTGGGCTCTGCGCTGAGCATGGAGCCTGCTTGAGAGTCCCTCTGTCCCTCTGCCCCTCTCTCTCCCACTTGCGCTCTAAAATAAAATTTTAAAAATAAATAAATAAAGTATGATTTAGAAATTGGGAATTATTAATTATGACAGAAGATATTTGAAAAATAAGTAGAACTCAAAAAAAATTTTTAAGTAACAATAATTGGAATAAACTGAAGACAGAATTAGTAACTGTAGGAGGCTGTAAGAATTAACCCAGAGGCAGCATGACGAGAAAAGGGATGGGAAAAAATGAAACACAGAAGGGGGCTTAATAAACTGATTAGAGCTCTAGAATGTGAAAGTTGAGAACAT